CTTTGCATTTTCTGTGTACATTATCATGTTATGTGTGTATAGTGACAGTTTCCCCACCTTTTTTGCCAATTTGAATGCCTGTTATTTTCTTCTCTTGCATTATTGAGCTGGGGAGAACTTTCAGTATAATACTGAATAGGAGTAGTGATAACAGGCAGTCTTACCTGATCCCTGTTCATAAGGGGAGTGTTTTTCCCTTCAGAATGATGTTGGCTCTCACTTTTGCATGTGCATTTTTTCAGTATGTTGAAGATATTCCTCTCTTTTTTTGTGAAGTGCTTTAATCAGGAAAGGGTGTTGGATGTTTGTGAAAGGACTTTTCTGCAACAATTGACAGGATCATGTTCATATTTTTTGCTTTGTAATTCATGTGATGAATGACATTGTTTTTCTTATGTTAAACTATCCCTCTTAGTATACCTTGTAGAGTTGGTCTTGTTTTTGTGAATTCCTTAAGTTTCTGCTTATCTGAAAATAATCTGATTTCTCCTTTATATTTGATGAACAGCTTTGCTGTGTACAGGATCCACAACTGGCAATATTTTGAGCCTTATGTATAGACCATCCCATTGTTTTCTATGTCACATGATTTCTGGTGAGAAGTCAGATCTTAATCTAACTGGTTCTCCCTTGTAGAAAATTCTTTGTTTTTTTTGTGCTGCTTTTTGCATTATATTCTTGTCTTTGTTTTTGGAGAGTTTGTATAGTCTGTTTGACATTCACTGGGTTTCCAGAAAATGAAGTTGTTGTTATTATTGTTAGGTGTCATCAAGTCGAGTACAACCCACCATGGCCCTATGAGTAACAAATCAGAACCCATGCTATCCTGTGTCAATCCTCACAATTTCTGACACATGAGAGGGTATCAATCCACCTGACTTAGGGTCTTCCTCTACCTCTCAAAGCATGATGTCTCTCTCCAAGGAACAGCCTCTCCTAGAAACATGCCCAAAGTATGTGAGACAAAGCTTTATCATCTTTGCCTTCAAGGAGCACTCTGGGTGCACCTTCTCTAAAACATATTTGTTTGTTCTTTGGGCAGTCCATGGGGTATTTAGCCCTATTCTCCAGCTCCCCAGCTCAAATACATCACTTCTTCTTCTGTCATCCTTATGTTGTTCAGCTCTCAGCACAAGTGATTGAAAAGACCATGACCTGAATCAGGCAAACCTTAGTCCTCAGACTAACATCATTGCTCTTCAATAATTTGTAGAATTTGCACACTTTCCCATAGCAATACATTTCCTGATCTCCTGACTACTAGTACCAAATACATTGCTTGTGGAGCCAGTAAGATGAAGTTGTTAATAGTTTCAATCTTTTTTCCATCTATCATGATGCTGTCTATCAGTCTAGCCGTCAGAATTATTGTTTTCTTCACCTTGAGGTGTAATCCATATTGAAGGCTTCAGTTTTGACCTTCCACAGCAAGTGCTTCAAGTCCTCTTCACTTTCAGCGAGCAAGGACACATCATTTGCATAATGAAGTTTATGGATGAATCTTCTTCTAATCCTGATA